TTCGGCGGAGCTCCAACCAGTTTCTTGGGATTGATCGACAGTGATGACAGATATGACGTTTGTGAAATCTTGAAGTGATGGATTCAGGTTGTTAAAGAAAAAATTCTTTGGAACCTACCTCAACATGCTGCTCAAGGATGTTATCTTCCAACTTCAGAACTGGTCGTCGTTGTAATGGTGCAAGGGTCATGCCCTCTTTGATCTGAACAACGAAAAAAATTTTAAACACGCTGATCTTTCATAAAACTCTGGTTAACAGAAGCAATAGACAACTTACAAAAAAATTAACAGCATAAAGATAAAAAAATAAAGAAGAAGAAATATGAATGTAATGGCAAAGCGGTAAATTAATCACTCTTTCAGCGATGAAAAATAGTGATATAAGAAATCTCAGTGAACACACCTCGAATGGCATATACCACAGTTCCTCATCGGCTTGAGCTACTAATTCTGGCTTCTTCTTCTCTACCTTGCTGAAGAACTTCATGAATAAGGCAGATTCACGGCGTTTCTTCTCCTCAAGAGCCTGAAAAGTGCACTTAATGTATGCAGAACGAACCTCTAAGGCCTCGCGCATACTGCACGCGTTTTATCGCCTCGCGATTCTCCCACAAATTAACTGTTATGCACTGCATCCGATCTTCCTGCATTTTGATTTTGATAGTTTTCCGACATGACTAAATTATCACAACCGAAATCCCGGATGATTGACATGCAATGGACTCAGCTGTTCGGGAGATCGCGAGGCGACGAAATCGCGTGAACTATGTTAAAGACCTCAAACGGTATCGTTTATAAAAATGTGGTCGGTACAAAATTGCCAGCGAATAGCTTTGCTGTAATGAGATATGTAAAAAACGGAACTGTGCGCAAAATTACAAGTCTGACTACGGCTCTGCCTCCTCAAATTATTGAAGAAATCACTGAAGCTTGTCCAAACTCATTTACGGAGCTTGGTGCTTACATTTATTTTGGTATTGAAAAACTCTAAAAGTGATAGACCAAGGTTTTCAAACATCTTCCCCTCCAAAACTTATTATGACTAACTATTGTGGAATTATCCATATAATCCAGCTTACTTATAAGTGGAAATTTAATGATGTTCGAAAATTCGAAACCCAAGTTACTATTACCTAGTCCATTCGCTTGAGTCTCTACCATAACCCCTTATAGTCTAGCCAATCAGACGGTGAGCAGTGTCCTTACGGTGTTAGACCTTAGGCGTAAACTGCACTTTAAGCCATTTTTTAAACAAGCGCGGCGGTTCTTTCTGCGCAGATGTTTTCGTCAGTCCAAAAAGGCTTCTGCAACTGAATTGTTGTTGTCATTTTACGGTAGTGGTCTTTGGTAATCTCGTGCATACTACAGGGTGTCT